TGGTTAAAAATTCTTTTAAATCAAATGGATACTTGGGTACACAAATAATGACTAATGATCTGGTATATTTATTTTATTTCGTTTTTAGGCAAAAACACAATATACATGTTCGATTGTTCTTTATTACCAAAACCGGTTCCCCACATATTTCTATTTAATGTTTCAAAAAAATACTCATCTATCATTACACGACTTAAGATCAACCATGGATGTTTCCCGGCCCATCTGCATAAGATAGGAATAATAGAGTCGCCTATTTGTCAACATGATAATGAAATTGCTGATTTGAATCACCTGTTTTTTAATTGTAAAATAAATCCAGGAAGTACTAACTTCATGGACAAACTAAATAAGTTAAATTTACAATTTCCCACCAACATTCAAGTTTTACTGGCAACGGAGAATAAACAAATTTACAACTTAATAGTAGAATTTATCTCAATAAATAAAATTTCCATTTAATTAGGTTAATTATTATTTAATTAAACATTAAAATGTTGTGTGTGGCTAAAGGATCAATATCCAAAGCCAAAAAAAAAAAAAAAAAAAAAAAAAAAATTGTTCTTTATATATAAATAACCCTATAAATTTTTTACTTAAAGCCATCTGTTTTTACAATAATTATTAAATGATTAAAATTTACATTTCTTGACAAATAGAGTTGTTACGGAGATATTTTTAACAGTATAGGAACCTGTAATCAATTTGTCTAGCATTGTGAACCTACGAGTGACAGCTTAGAGCAGTGACAATTGACAGTACTAATTTACTGTCGTGTGAGCCATTTTCGACCAGTACGGTTCTGCTCTAATCCCTTAAATTCCTATCTGCCTTGTTTTGGCCACTACTTTTCCGATTATTAACAATATGCAAAGAAATAAGTTAACCCCCTGAAATTGACCCTAATGGGACGACTATGAAAATGGGACCACTCTGACCATTGTCGATTATTAGTCTGAAATGCACTAGAATACAGTAGAATGTTCGTGATAATAAATTGCAGCTTATTTCTTTTATTTTATTTATTTATTAACACACCACCCAACAGTAATAACCATTTAATGGGTAGAAAAGACAATATATTTATTATAGACATATACAACGTTCTTTCAGTGACTTTTTAGTAGAAAAAATCCCTGCCCATAGTAGTAAGGTCTTTACAAAAACATACCACATATTTCTTAGACCAAAATAAGTCGATTTAAGTAAAATTACCTTAGTACAAAGTTGCTTCGTTTGAGCTCCAGAGGGCCTTGAAGTTACAATTTTTAAATCGTTTTTCCCATATAAATTTAAAACGGCATAAGCGATTTTGCTGAAATTTGGTATATTGGTAGAGTTTTATGTGGCAAAAAAAAATGGTATGAAAATTTTGTCCGATAATAATACATAGGCGTAGAACTTGATTTTTTAAATAATTGCGCCTTTAAAAATTCTACGCTAATGGAAGAAAAGGAGTTTGAGTACGAAATTTAGATTGCGCAACTCATTTACTTTAAAAAAGGTACTCCTGAAAAGACTCTATTACTCTCATGGTTTTGACGAAATTTGCATTTTAGTAATTTTAGAACATAAACAATAATTATTAAAATACAAACTTTGTCAAAACCATGAGAGTAAATCGAGTGTTATCAAGGGTACTTTTTTGTAGTAAATGAGTACCCAATCCAAATTTCATACTCCCCTTTTTTGCCATTGGCGTAGAATTTTTATAGGCGCAATTATTTAAAAAATCAAGTTCTAGCCTATGTATTATTATCGGACAAAATTTTATACGATGAAAAACATAAAAATATACTTTTTTCATATCTTCTTCAACACCTCTAATCGAGACTTTTAACAAAAATACTCGATTCTTGCCATTTACGATTTTTTGAGGAATATTGATTATTTGCTTGCAATACGTATACAAAAACATTTATTGTTGGTTTCCATAGTTTCATCTAAATAAAAATATTGTCAAGTTTTAACACCTAATCTCTTGTTAACGATTGAAAGTGTTCTATCTGACTCAATAATTAAAAAAACAAATGCGTGGTTTATTAATATGGCTGTACAATATACCAATGCAGAATATACCGATATGTTACTAACATTAGGATTTTGTGAAGGAAATGCTCGAGAGAGTATCAGGGTGTACTCTGAAAGGTTTAAATTTAAAGACCTTTTACAGATACCCATATTTTATAAAGACGAAATTTTTGTTTATAGATCCCTAGAAACGTTCAACAGGGTATGTAACAACAAAGTTCTAATCGATAACGACATTGAAAGCTTGCCTTCTTCCTGCTTTATGTTACGATATCACACGGTAACATCTAGGTCACAGATGAAACGTGTTGTCCTTTTCAGGAAAGATAGTTATAAAAGATTGTTTTTATCGAAATAAAATTTTTAATTAAAACTTAGAAGGAAGCAGCATCATAATAATTCTCGACTGTCGTCGTCTACAATTACCGAAAGCCGTTGTTACAGTCTTGGATGATTTATTTTTTAGTAATTATTTTCACAAACTGTAAGAACTATTACCCTTCATAGGATTACAGTATGAATGTTAATTAAAATATACCTATTAGGTGACATTGTTCTTGAAAAGAAAGAGAAATGCAAGAGTAATTTAAAATTTTTAAAAATAATCACAAAAGTTACAAAAAAATGGTTTCAAAATACAAAGGTTTTAAAATAAAATGTGTACATATCTATCAAATAAAAAATTACTTGAGTTCTACGACTATGGATTTTCTTAAAATTTCAATCTGATCGGTAACGATCAATAAGCAATTTTAATTTAACTTATTTTACTAATTTCAATCTTAAAACTAAAGGTTTTACTCAATAGAAGTTCCTTAGACTCTAATATAAATAGTGTGTAAATACTGCACTGTACTCTGCTTTACACTGACACTTATCTACTGAACTATCTCAAAGGGCTTTGTCCTCTTGAGTCTTCTTGTCTGATTGGTGTTGTCGAGGAGCTGAATGGCCTCAACATTCACATGTTTTAGAAGTCCATACAGGTTTGAGGATTTGCTTATAAAGTATATAGACAGAGTGGAATTTCATCCCAGTATTCAATTCAATTTGAGTCCTAATTCTTCTCTTTTCTTTTTGACATGAAGGTTTCCAGCGTAGCCCTTCATCTAATGTAATACCCAGATATTTGGCTGTATTGACATAAAGAAGTACCTTAGCATTATTCAGTCTAACTGACTCACGTGTTAATCTTTCTTTTTGGTAAAATTTATATGCACTCTTGTTAAGCTTGATTCTCTGTTTGAATCTGGTTAATGGTTGTTTGTAATTTAGCTGGAGCTTCCTCATGACTATTTCCGACTCCTAAGATGGCTGCGTGATCAGTGAAAGTGGCTATAGTGTTATTCTCCAAATTAGGGATATCACTAGTTTATAAAAGGTATAAGACTGGTCCTAATACACTTCCCTGTGGCACTCCTGCGTTGATTTCTCTGAGTTCGGAATAAGGTTCTTCCTGTTTTATTCTGAAGACTCTGTAAGAAATGTAAGAAATTAGAAGTTGTGAATACTGTTTTGCCAGGTGATGTCTCATTTTGTACTTGAGACCTTCATGCCATATTTTGTCGAAAGTCTGTGTTACATCTAGGAAGATTGTAAAACACACTTTCCTTTCTTCTAGCGTTTTTTCTATGGTATTGGTTATTCCACAAGAATATTTTCATTAGGTAACCCGCAAAATACCTTTCGAAATTCGTTTCTAAAGTGGACTCTTTTTGATAATTGCTATCAATTTCTGGCAAATTTGATGTATGGCGATGTTTGTGAGTTAGTTTAACCTATTTGTGTGAATCTTCTTTTTCCAATATGAAGTTTATTAAGAACAAATATCGTAATCGACTTACAGATGAACATTTGGATACTTGTATTCGAATGGCTGTATCAAATTATACTGCAAACATTAAAAAAATTATCGATGAGTCTGAGTGTCAGCCTTCTCATTGAACGTGCTTTTTTTATTTTTCAATGTTTATGTTCATGATAGTGCGTTACTTTTTTGTTGTTATTATTAACTATTTTTAAATCTTACGTGACATGCCGTTGTGGCTGGATAAAAGTTTGTGTTTATTTTTCAAACACCTTCGTTTGGTAGGTAGGAATGTAGCTATGAACAAGTACGTACTAGTAATATTAGTTATTTTGTTATTAGTTTATTATTAGTACCTATGTATTATGTATTACCAGTTAAATAGTAAAATAAATACATATAATGATAAATTAAGTGTGGATTATTTCATTTACGTTGCGTTACGTGGCTTCCGTGTGGGTAGCTCGCTGTTTATTCCAAAATTAACAAAGTAGCTTAACACATTGAGAGGTTGGCGACCACTGCTCTAGATTGGAGTTCCTCAAACAGATCATATTATGTAATAATTATCTTTTGTACTACAACTTCTGGTTACACAAATGAATATATTTTTTTTTTCAGATTTAGGGCAACTTTGTTATTTTACAAGGACCTGTATATTTTTAGTTGCTCAACATCAAAAATCGACACCGCCAAATTGTAATAAAAATAATATAAAAAAAGAATAAATTTTAAGAAAGGGCACCCCAATTGTACCCAAAGTAATATTTTATAAGGCAAAAAAAATAATGTAAATAAAATAAATACCATACTAAAGAAGGCACTAATCAGTGCCGAAAGCTCTAAACCAAAAACACACGGTTTTTATTTAAAAACTATTCGAATACAATCCTAAAAACCCAAGAATCTACCAAGAAATTAAAGTCGTGGTATCACCCTGTATTATTTAATTGATCTTCATTTAAGTTTTGTTTCGACTTCGTAGCTTTATATTCCGAAAGTAATGTTACTCGGTTACAAACATTAACCAATAATTTATCTTCCACAATAATCAAGGATAATAGTCTATTATCATAAATTAAACTCACGGGCCGTTTATTTTTCAATTCAGAAAAAAACTTTGTAATAATTTGTTTTTTAACTGAAATTTTTTTTTTTACAGAAACAAGCTATGTTAGTACGTCAATTAGAAGAAGAACTACGAATGCGAATGCGTGGACCAAGCATCGAAATTCAGCAACAAATGGAAGCATTATATCAGGAAAATGAACATCTAACAAGAGAAATTGCAATATTACGAGATACCATCAAGGTAATTGGAAAACGTATATATCTTTTTTTAAAGGCGATTTATCAGTTTTTTGATATATTTCAAAGCGTTACATTATTAAGACGCTTTATTGGAGAATATTTTGTGGAAAACTTTTTTTTTGTTTTCGAGTTATTTACCGCAACTTTATTATTTCTTATGAAAGTCATCTTGGATTTAAATAAACACAGATAATATGTGTCTACATTTCATTTCCAAAATAAAATATAAAAATATAAATAGATTTAAAATAAAAGATAAAATTGTTTGTAAAAAAAGTGGGTAACCTCGGGACTATTAAAATCAATTAAAGAAAAAGAAAAATTTCCTCAAAATATGACTGAGCGCTGCTCGCCTAAGGTGCAATCTTCTAGTGGACTTGCCATGGTGAATTGAAAATTTTTAGGTTATGTTGACATAAAATGATGAAACAGCTGATCAGAGCATATCCAAAGGTTGGCAACTAACACCCCTGAAAAGATTGAATAGTTTTAAAATTATGGAATTTGTCTCTTTACTTATTGAATGACCCTCGTACATTGCTATAATTTAGATTTTTGCATTTATTTGATTCATTAATTCTCTTCACAGGAACTGGAGCTTCGGATAGAGACGCAAAAACAAACGCTTCAGGCCCGAGACGAAAGCATAAAAAAATTGTTAGAGATGCTTCAGAACAAAGGCATGGGTAAGTGGGTCTTTCCTACTTAGTCCCTATATTTTTGCTTTTTCCTTGCACATCTGTTCACTTTTTGATGTTCTCTTTTTATATATATTTTTTATGTGGTTTTGTACAGGGTGTTTCAATTTTATACTTGTTTTTATATATTTATAAATGATTATGGAAAGAATCAATATCTTGTGACAATTATATTACTAACTAGCAAACACTGATCTAAAAGTGTTTATAGTGTATTGAATTTCTGATCAAAAATTGACTTTTTTAGCATACTGATTCGAATTTTCAACTCCTACACCGTGCGAAATGCGATACTTTCAATTTTCAAACCACTAGGATTTGCTGGAAAATTTACCCTATCATCCCTGACGTTTTTAAATTGCGTTAATTTCGATTGAAGCGCCCTCTAGCGGTATAAAAAATATGGAACATATTGCAAAGCTAATGTTATTCGTAATTCAATGCCCCACAAAATAAAGTTAGCAATAAATCATTTTTTTTTTAATTTCCAGTTCATTTTTGATCCAGTTAACATTCAGTACATCGAATTACTAATAAAATTGCCTTTCAAAAGTGTCACACTTTTCAATATCTCGCTAAATGGTGCTAAAATCAAAAACTAACGCAATCAAAAGTCATATTGCCGAATTTCCCGTTGAATTACCTTTTAAATGGAGTCTCACACAACCACTCGTGCTATTTAATCGAATCGAAAGGATGATATGAGGGGTGAGAGGGTGATTTTTTCAGCAAACCCTATTATCATGGTACAATATCTCTCCCTTCGAATATTAATTGACATATTTTTTATAAAAATCAGTCCTGCAGAAGTTATTTTGACTATTTTTACAATTAAATCACTATATACAGGGTGTACCATTAGTGTGTAATTGCTCTAGATGCGCCAAGTTACTTATATTTAAAAAAAAAAACAAATTTGAAACATTTTTTGTGTATACAGGGTGTTACGTTTTGTTCCTGGCATATAAAAATGTATATTTTTTTAAATAGAAAATCCTATATTTTATTTCAATTTTACAAAGGTCTGGTAATACTATATTCAACTTTAGAATGTTTTTAAAAAATATTACAAGTTTGCTAAGCAATTAATTTTTTTGTAAAAAACTTCCAATCGAATATTTCAGAAAATTGTTGTATTTGAATGTCCTAAAAGGTTTTTTTCAATAGTAATAATAAAAATAAGGGACATGTGCAGTGTTGCCGATCTGATTTTTGAGATGATCCGCGAAAAATTTGAAAAAAAAAAACGTTTTTACTCGTTATTCTTAAAGGAGTACGTCAAAATTTTATTCTCAATATTTTTGGGCTGTTTTCAATAACGGTGTTCAATTATTTAAAAAATAATTTGCAGCTTTATTTTTTTTGTTTTCTTTTTCGTTGTTAAACATAATGTCAAATTGTTAAATGTGAAATTTCATTATTTATTGCCTTTTTTCGATTTTTGGTATTTTCAATTATTCATTTGTTTTTTAGATTTTTTCGATTTTTTCGATTCTTCGATTTACCGATTTTTCGATTATTTCTCGATTATTTTTCGATTATTTTTCGATTAGTTTTCGATTATTTCTCGATTATATTTCAAATATTTTTTTGATTTTTCGATTTTTGATTTATTTCCATCATCATCATCATCATCATAAAGTAAAAGGTTATGCAACTGGTTGCATAAAGTAGATCGTTTTGACACTTGCTGCGATTACAAAATATGTCACTTTATATGCCAAAATTTTAGACACTGTTTATGCTTTTTAGAATTCTTTTTAGAATATTTTACGAATATTTTTCGATGTAACATCGACTTTTCGATTTTTGTTTTTGTTTTCGATTATTTTTCGATTCTTTTTCAAATATTTTTCGAATATTTTTCAATTTTTCAAATCTTTTTCGAATATTTTACGATTATTCTTCGATTTTTCGATTATTTTACGATTATTTTTCGATTTTACGATTATTTTTAGATTTTTGGTTTATCATCGATTTTTGTTTTTTTCGATTATTTTTCAAATACCTTTCGATTATTTTTCGATTTTTCGATTATTTTCCAAATATTTTTCGATTATTTTTCGATTCGTTTTCGATTATTTTTCGATTATATTTCAAATATTTTTTGATTTTTCGATTTTTTTGATTATTTTACGATTATTTTTCGATTTTTCGATTTTTCGATTATTTTTCGATTTTTCGATTCTTTTTTAAATATGTTTCGATTATTTTTCGATTTCTTAACTATTTTTTGATTTTTCGTTTTATCCATTTATTGATTTTTCAGCATTTTTATATATTTTCATTTCGTAACTGGTGACATAATCAACTTTTCGTAATCAGTTGCATAATGCTTTACTTTATACAACTGGTTGCATAAAATAGATCGTTTCGACACTTGCTGCCATTACAAAATATGTCAATTTATATTTCAAAATTAGAAAACTAATTTTGTTTTTGCTTTTTAAAATTCCTTTCCGATAATTTTACGATTATTTTTCGATTTTTCGATTATTTTTCGATTCTGTTTCGATTATTTTACGATTTTTCGATTCTTTTTCGATTATTTTGGGATTTTTTTACGATTATTTTTCGATTTTTTGATTGATCATCAATTTTTTGATTTTTATTTGTTAGATTAGATTATTTTTCGATTATTTTTCAAATTCTTTTCGATTCTCTTTCAAATATTTTTCAATTATTTTTCGATTTTTTTTCGATTATTTTACGATTATTTTTCGATTTATTGATTTTTAGATTTAAAAACAAAAAAAACTGTTTTTGCTATTTAGAATAATAAAAAATTATTTTTCTAACACACATCATTGGCACCACATAAATTTTTAATAACAGGTACTCTACCTTCCCCATTACAATATTCTTTTCACTCAAAATAACTACTACCCTTTTTAAAATTAATTATCCAAAAAGAGAAAGTTGTTTAATAAAAACATGCCTTTTATTACAAATAATAAAATCTCATTATTAATTGAATCATTTCATTTAAAAAAAATTGAAACACTCAATACATCTGACGGTGAGGGCGGCATCATAGAGAAATGTAATTAATTAAATCATGGAGCATAGTTACAGTGCCTAAAAGGCTATATCTGATAACAACACCCTATAATTTTTTTGGCACAATGGTGTTAGATGATGCACTCTACTTAGTAAACGGTGTTAGAGTTTGTGAATGGATTTTGAAAATTTGTCTCATGCTACCAGTTCATGAGATGAAAATAGTTGATAAGTTTATAAATATCGAATGTATTAAAAAGAGGAGCATTTCTATGAAAAATGTGGTATGGGGTCATAATTTTCATCTCACTTGGCTATTATAAAACATAATATATTGTTATTGAACATTTCCAGTATTTTCTGAGTTAATTTTTGAGTTTATTAAACTTATTAAAGCGTTGTCTTTTGGGATATTATTTTTTTTTTGAATTTTATAACAATTTGATGACAATTTGATGACAATTTGATGACAATTTGATGACATTTTGATGACATTTTGATGACAATTTGATGACAACTTGATGAAAATTTCATGATAATTTGATAATAATTTTATGACAATTTAATGACAATTTAATGACAATTTTAAGACAATTTAATGACAATTTAATGACAATTTCATGATAATTAAATGGAAATTTTATGACAATTTGATGATAATTTGATGACAATTTGATGACAATTTGATTAGAATTCAATGACAATTTAATGACAATTTAATGACAATTTAATGACAATTTGATGAATATTAATTAACAATTTGATGGCAAATTAATGAAAATTTGATAACAAATTTATGATAATTTTAAGACAATTATATGACAATTTGATAATAATTTGTTGACAATTTTATAATAATTTAATGACAATTTTCTAATAATTTTATGATAATTAAATGGCAATTTTATATATTGATGGGAATTTAATGACAATTTGATGACATTTTGATGAAAATTTGATCACAAATTGATGAAAATTTTATAACAATTTTATGGCAATTTTAAGACAATTATATGATAATTATATGACAATTTAATGATAATTTGATGGCAATTTGATGACATTTTGATGAAAATTTGATCACAAATTGATGAAAATTTTATAACAATTTTATGGCAATTTTAAGACAATTATATGATAATTATATGACAATTTAATGATAATTTGATGGCAATTTGATGACATTTTGATGACAATTTGATGACAATTTGATGACAATTTGATGACAATTTGATGACAATTTGATAACAATTTGATGGAAAATTTATGAAAATTTGATAACAATTTTATGACAATTTTAAGATAATTATATGATAATTATATGACAATTTGAAGATAATTTAATGGCAATTTGATGATAATTAAATGGCAATTTGATGATAATTAAATGGCAATTTGATGACATTTTAATGAGAATTTAATGACTATTTGATGACAATTTCATGACAATTTGTTAATAATTTTTTGACAATTTTATCACAATTTTATCACAATTTTATCACAATTTTATCACAATTTTATGACAATTTTATGACAATTTTATGACAATTTGATGACAATTTGATGGCAATTTGATGATAATTTGATGGCAAATTGATGAAAATTTGATAACAATTTTTTGACAATTTTAAGACAATTATATGACAATTTGATGACATTTTGATGAGAATTTAATGACAATTTAATGACAATTTGATGACATTTTGATGACAATTTGATGACAATTTCTTGACAATTTCTTGACAATTTCATGACAATTTGATGACAATTTCTTGACAATTTCATGACAATTTGATGACAATTTGATGATAATTTCATGACAATTTGATGAAAATTTGATGACAATTTCATGACAATTTCATGACAATTTGATGACAATTTCATGACAATTTGATGACAATTTGATGACAATTTCATGACAATTTGGTGACAATTTGATGACATTTGATGACAATTTGATGATAATTGACGTAGTAGTAAACTCAAATTCAAAAAAATAATGTTTCTACTTTTCAAAAGGGTGAACCAAGTTAATTTTTGAAAATCTTTTCCAAACTTTAATAAAAAAATTACAGTCTCACTCGGCATAATACAAAAAAAAATAATAAATGAAGTCTAATTATACAGGGTGTTTCTAAATTCATGCGACAAAATTCAGGAGGTATAAAATTAAGATGGGTCTATCTTATAACAAAATTTCCTCCCGGTGCCTTGTTGAAACATCTCCAGGTTAAAGTACATAATATATGCCCTAATGATTAGTCTTTCTTGCTACACAATTGACATTGACAGTTCGATGTTTGATTTAGACCATCTTATTCAGCTGTTTTTCAGATCAGAAAGACCTACCTAGGTCTAGGTCAAACCCGTAAGAATCTGTAGATTATGTATGCTTCATTCCAGAACATGTGTAGAAACCTTTATTGAAAGATTAAATATAAACACGATAATAGGGGTCACCACAGCGATATCTATTCAGAATTTGTCAAGAAATATTTTGAGTCCCGTGAACTCGGTATCAGCTCAGTACTTTAAGATCTATCTGAATACCGTTAAGCATTATATAGTTTTGCTTTTAGAAGGAAGAATTAAAAGTTCTCAATCATTTTTCAATGCTACACTTTCTGCTCAAATGTACAGCTCGTGGTTCTGAGACAGCTTTGATGCCGTCAGTATAGATTTAAGATTTAGTCGATCTTTCTTAGGATTGACGCTAAATAATTTTTCATTTCGTCCCATTGTGGTTCTCCATTTATTTAGCTATTTATCGATAAGAGTCTATAGAATACCATCGTGGTCTACTTGTCCAGCAGAAAGTGAAGTAGAGCTAAATCCAAAATGGTTTTAATTGTCATTACATTGCTCCAGTAATAACCAGGCAAATGCGTCGTTAAAACACAGCCGCTGATTATTTGAGTCCCTTGTTCTAGTAGACAACCAAATTATTATTACTGTTTATAAATCTAGTTAAACAATTTTCTGTGTCTTTCAATCAAGGATTCTGCAATGTTTCTCTTAAAATTTAATATTCATACTACAATATCCAAAACAGTAATTAGTTAGAAACTCCCTAGGTTTAAATTACCACTTAATTAGAATCACTTAAGATGGAAAATATAGCCCAGGCCATATTTTCATTACTGCTCATTCAAAATTTAGGTATATTATAAATTTCATCAACTATTTTTGAAAGTATTAAAATTCACAGACTCTTTTCATTAATTTTTTTATCGAGAACATCAGTGAACCATGGTAATGAGATTAATTTGGAAAAATTCATTCAGCAGCTCAAGCTAGGACTAATGCTTTGGGTGTTGGGTCTGTTCCAGGTAAAGAGGAAGAACGACAGATGTTCCAACAAATGCAAGCTATGGCTCAAAAGCAGGTGCTTATATATTCGTATTTTTCACGTATTTCATCGCGTCCTCGAAAGGGTATATTTGAATTATAACCGGGACAGACCCAAAATATATTTGTACTGAAAAAAAAATGATTTTGTTTAATAGCTTTATATTTTGTTTTTAACTTTATTACACTTCTATTCTCCATCTGTTCTTCTTATCTACCTTTCTTTTGCTTTAATGGCGGTAAAAAAAAAAGAAAAAGCTTATAGTCCTAAAAAAACTTATTGTAATTAATCCATAGAGTTTAAAGTGGAATATTTTTTTGCGTAATATAAATATTATTATGTGTAGGTAAAAGAAATAGTAAGATACTTAAATCCAGGTAGGTACACGTAAAATGAAGTTGAATAAAACTTGATGGTGGTTGGTTACATTTGGAAACAATTTTTGTTTCTTATATTTCATTTTTATCTGTGACACATGTGCGTTACATTTATTATTTTCAGTATAAGCTTTAGATACGCTAACAGAATTATCCCATATTAGAAACAATATATTTTTTAAATATCTTCTACATAATGTTTCAAAAAAAGGTGGGTCATTTGCTAGGATAGATGGAACACTGCAAAATAAATTTGGTTTGTTTATTAAAAAAAATTCTTGAAGGCATCCGTTTTAAAGATAAAGGGTATTGAAAAAATTGTGTACACATTTTGACCCAAAACTTGTAATAGCTCAGGTACATTTATTACAATTTTAGGAAATATTTAGATTATTCTGTAAAAATATTTAAAATGACCGTACTAAGTTTTACATTAGAAATGTTGTTTTATTACTCTCTCATACATAAAAATAGACTATAACTCAGGCAAAACTATTTTGAGGTTTGCGACGAACCCTAAACTATTTTAATGGAGGACATTTTGAACACTTGTCAAATTTATTTTAATTGTCTTCTTGTGATTTTTTGTTTACTTAATAACATTAGCATTAGAATAATGTTATTGTTTTTGGTTTTACGTAATAGTTACTTTATTCCAGCATCAGTTATTACTTCATCCTTTTTGAAATCAGAATATTCAGAAAACGGTACAGAGTATCGAGTTTTACCAAGAGTACTTTTCTGATGTAAAATTGAATGATTTTTGAGTTCACATAAAATTAGGACTAGAAAATGTAATCCCTCAAAAAAGTTATGTTTAAAACTACTCAGTACGAACCGTCTAACTAGCGCGCTCTATGAGAGGCAAACGAAATTTTTTTACTGAACAAACGAAATTTATTTTTAAGTCTTTTTACCTATCCTAGCAACAAGGCCTCCTTTTTTTGAAACACCCTGTATATGTAGATCGATAATTATATCTTTTTATAATTTCCTATAAAGTATTCGTAAGTATAAACTAGATTGCACTCGGTAAAAAGAAATGTCGTCCATAAAAAGAGAATAGCAGATAGTAGTAATAGTCCTGAGACATAGACATTGACAGTTAATTAGAAATAATGGATTTTTCAGTAGAAATACCGTACATTTTTTTTCTAGAATCGATATTTTGTTAATATGTCTTTATTTGGAAAGAGAGTAAAATGTAAAAAACAAATAAATTTCTTACATTTTTCTTTTTTTTGTCTTCTAGAAAATCTGAAGTACGTCACTGTTTATAGATAAATCAGCCGCATTTCCATACCACCGAAAACTAATAAACATACATATTTACTAATTCGTTATTGGGTAGTATGAATTTTAAAAATTTGTTACACAAATAAAGCGTATTTTACAATTAAAAAATAAATGCCATATTTTGGAAAATACCAATTATTTAATAAAGCCTCAGAAAACATTAAGTAAGAGCCTGAAACAGGAGCGCAGGGTTTTAAGTAAGATCTGCGCGTTAATTGCAATAGAGATGGGAGAAAAATAATGGTATCATAGCTATAATTTTACATATACTAATTCAATGGACAATCTAAGATATATAGTATACAGGGTGTTCGATAAGTATGGTACATAACTTCAGGAGCGTATTCTGGAGCTAAAATACTTAAAAATACTTCGTTATGGAAATACAGGGTGTTTTTTCATAAAGAAAAATACCATTTTTTGAATATTTCCAAAACCACTTGAGATATTTTAATTAAATTTTTGCAGCTTTTGAGAGTTAGCAACATTGCGTATATAATAAATGACTTAAGGAATAAAACCCGTTCTTCAAACAGTGTAAATCCTAGCCGAGATGAACTAAACGATTATTTCGTAAATGTAAGTAAAAATATCAAATCTAACATAGCTCCGAGTCAGGATGCTCTCTCCTTCCTCCTACCTACTAAAAGGATCACTGAAAGTTTCTTCCTAAGACCAGTAGACAAGCATGAACTAGTGCAAACCATAAACAACATCCAAACTAAATTTTCCTGTGGAATTGATGGCCTGTCCACCAAAATATTTCTAAATATACCGGATGTAGTAATCAACATTTTAACTTCACTGATTAATGAATCCTTTGAAATTGGTCTCTTTCCTAACTGTCTAAAAACAGCTATAATAATCCCACTTCATAAAGGTGGCGACAAAACCAAAACCTGTAACTATAGACCTATCGCGTTATTGCCTACCTTATCGAAGATAGTGGAACGGCTAATGAAAAACCGTCTTTTGCTCTTTCTTTTCAAGCATAACATCCTCACAGCTCATCAGTATGGCTTTCTACCTAAAAAATGCACTAGCGACGCAATGTTTTCCGTTCTTAATGAAATATACACATCACTTAATGATAAACTTTTCACCGCTTCAGTATTTTGTGACTTCGCAAAGGCCTTCGATTGTGTAAATCATGATATTTTAATTAATAAGTTACAAATTTATGGCATACGGGGTTCTCCTTTACAATGGTTTAAAACTTACCTAGAAAATAGAAATCAACAGGTGCGGGCGAATGGTGAGGATTCTACAAATCTAGCAATAAGCAGTGGAGTACCTCAAGGATCAGTATTAGGTCCAATTTTGTTTGTATTATTCATCAACGACATCACAGACTTAAGAATAAGTGGTAGAATTACTTTATTTGCTGATGACACCAGTGTAACCTGGAATAATTCTAACATGCAGACATTACAATCTATCATAAGTGAAGATCTAGTGACTATTAAGTCCTGGTCTGATTCGAATGGACTTTGTTTCAACACCAGTAAAACTGTAGCATTGTCTTACAGAGGTACTTTACAACCTATAACTTTAAACAATAATCTGATCCAAACGGTGACTTCAATCAAGTTTTTAGGTCTTTATATAGACGATTCTCTAAAATGGTCTGCTCATATAGATACCTTAGCGAAAAAATTATCCTCCGCATGTTTTGCCATTAAATCGGTTTCTAAAGAGCTGACTCCTTCTACTGCATTAATAACCTACTTTTCCTTATTCGAATCTCACCTTCGCTATTGGTTTACCTTTCTGGGGTTCTTGTAGCTTATACCTTTTCGAATCTATTTTTAAACTGCAAAAAAGAGCAATCCGCTATGTATTTGGTTTAAGTAGTAGGACACATTGCGAAAATTACTTCAAAAATTTCAAAATTCTAACCCTTCCTGCTCTATTTATTTTCGAATCCGTCTGCTTAGTTCGCAAGCACATTCAAAATTTATCCGAAAGACCGACTCGTAGATATCCTACAAGAAATTTAGAGACTGATGTTTATTTAACAATGCCCACTTCTGACCTATTAAAACATTCCATTACCTACAATGCCAAAAAATTGTATAATAACCTTCCGATGCAATTAAAATCTATAAATACATACGATAAGTTCCGAAGAAGCTTTTCTTCTAGAAAGACCATATTACACAGTAGCAGAATTTTATAACGTACCTTAGACATTTGAGTTCCGCATACAATGACATTAATTAAATAATTAAATATTAAAGTTTAAATTTAAATTTAAAAATTAAATTAGAATAATTATAATGACGGATATTGCATATCCATTGCAATTGTTATTCCTATTTTGTCTGTTTGTTTCTGTTTGTTTTTTCTGCTGTTTAGTTATTTTTATAATATGTTTAGTATTTAAGTTACACGCTTTGTCTATAAAATTTTTGTAAATTTTTTTACGACAATAAAGCATACCTCTCTCTCTCTCTATTACTATAAACACAGTGGCTTTCGTTTAACCAGTGGCGTGCGGACAAGGTAATAAGGAAAAACGTGTTACGCCGCTGTTCTTTTTCAATATTTAGTTTTTGATTGTTCTATTTGGAAAAAACGTCCCTTGACTTTTTTCATGAATAATTACAGAGCCATTTTTATTTTATTTTTTTTATTATTTACAAATAATAATTTCAATAATAAATTTTCATCTAAAATAAATCCCAAGTATTTAAATTCATTAACCTATTCAACATTCTCGTTTTCAATTCCAATGTTGTATCTAGTTCTGGAACTTTCCAAAAACCTGTTTCACATTCACTGTACAAAAAAATGAATTTTCGTTTATTCTTTAATTTGATTTCTGACGCTATTAAGTCAGCACATTGATCAGATAAGGACTCTTTGCATGAATCACATGGAAAAACTTGATTAGCTTCCTCATCCTTTCACTTTGGGCCGATCTTTGCATCCATCTCAACTTAAATAAATAGTCACAGTTTTTTAAATTTTAATCACACTTATAATGGTGCAGTAGACACTTCCTATTAACGTATTTATTGACTTTATTAAGTGTTTTTTTAATGTCAAACAAGTACCTGGGAAAAATCGTTGTACATTGTTCAAAGAGATTAAAAATAATAAAAAAGAATGAAAAAATTTATTGTCTTTGGTGCTTTTTCTTCCAAATTGAACATTAAAAACAGAACAGTGGCGTAACACGTTTTTTCTTCCTTATTTTTCAGCGATTAATTTGATTAAAATATCTTAAGTGGTTTTGGAAATATTTAAAAACAGCATTTTTGAGACATAGTATATATGACAAAAATACCTTTATTTTAGCTCCAGAATTCGCTCCTGAAGTTATGTACCGTTCTTATCGAACACCCTGTATAAGATAAA